ATCAAAGCTCGTTTCAATAAATCTTGTTTCAACTAATTATAGTTAAATTCGCATTACGATTTTTTTTGCAATGAGATTATAACGAATTTTAAATGCAATTTTCCACAGATGACTGTATAAGTTCTTTATTTTCCAAAAACAGTTATTTATACGTACAAAACTTGGTTCAATCAATTATTTGCTAAAACAAAAATCAAAGATCTTTTGGCGAAAAATTTTTTTAAAAACAACCAAATCTGGGGATAATTGCAAGAGTTTTTGTGAGAGTTGAGATAAAAATTTTATTCACCATTTTTAAAAAATTTTCCATAATATCAATCTGCCGGTGAAAAGAATACAATATCAAACCGGTCCGACCGGTTTTATTACTATATATATATATATGAAAAATTTGAACCGGTTTAACCAGTTTTGGCTCAATTGCGTCGAACCGGTTCCAAACCTATTTTAGTAATTATGTTAGAATTAAAAGATTGAAAAGGTTGGAAGGTGGTAATTGATGCGAAATGGCGTATATGACATTCTTCATTGTACATTTTCCAATAATTCGCTTATTTTAATGACATTTATAAGTTAATGCTGCATTTGTTTTCTATTACTATTATAATGTTTTGGTGTCAGCGGGGTCTCCGATGGAAATGACAGGGTATGCCACACGCATCTCTCACAAGAACATTCAAATATACATTCACACTAGCAACCTGGATTCCTAAAACACCAAATTGATTTCTAACTGGTCTACATATCATATATTATATGTAAGCATTCCACACACATCAACTCATTAATCTTCCATCAAAACTTCACAAACGCTAATCTACCCTCCTCTACTCATCACTATTTCGATATTTTCCTAGTCAAACACTGACGCTCCGCACTGCAGTAAAATCCAACTTTAAATGATTCGAATAGCCATAGTGACGAATGTTCAAAAAATTCTATTTACAGGCTCAAGCAAATACTCCCATTAGGCAGATTCATCGACAACCTGGGTCGGCATTCCTCAGCATCCAGCAATAATCAGTCAAACAAAAAATCATTCATCTAACATAGTATCATCATTATGTATGAACACTAAATAACTACATTTATAAATAATTTTACTGTTATATTCATAGTTGTCATGATGGTTCGAATGTAGTATTGGCAGAGTTGGTTTTTTATCTTTTACTTTGCTTTATTAATTTAATAAAGTTCTAAATATAAATTCTTTTTTTTTTTTTTAATTTACCCATTTTTAACACAATAACATGCTATCATCATGATCAAATCCTCTTGGACGTTTTTGGGTGTTATTCACAAACATTGTAGTTAGGGATGTTAAATGGTTGAGTCGGTTCGGTTCGGTTTAAAAACCGTGTTAGACCGGTTTGAACCGTGGTTTAAAACCGCGGTTCAACCGTGGTTTGTCGATCATATACTAAGATCTGATTGGTCAATTTTAATAACCGTTGTTGATCACATACTTTAAATATGAGTG